GCTCAGTGCCCTTTCAGGCTGATGCACTTGGATGGCAGCATAAGCTCCTGTCACTGCTTGTGTGCAGGAGTTTGGGATTTAAATGCTGTAAATGTCCAGAAATCTCAGCACTGACTTTTCATACAAAAGGAAATGGAAAATTCCCTCCATGAGGATGAAGCAGCAGGTCTGTTTTCCTTTGTTTAGGTGGGAGCTGCTGCCTCAGGACAACACCAGGGACCTTCTGTATCCTACAGCATAGGGAGGGAGATGGGGATTCCACCTGCTTGTTTAAAATTCACAGGGGTTTCTACTTTGAGAGAAAAGTCCTGTTTCTGAATTTGGGTTTTTTTTGGTATCAGACAGAACTTCTCAGGGGCCTTCCCGATTTTGAAGGGAGCCTACAAGGAGGATGGAGTGCCAGGACATGGGGAATGGCTCCCCACTGCCAGAGGCAGGGATGGATGGGGTATTGTTCCCTGGGAGGGTGGGCAGGCCCTGGCACAGGTGCCCAGAGCAGCTGTGGCTGCCCCTGGATCCCTGGCAGTGCCCAAGGCCAGGCTGGACAGGGCTTGGAGCAGCCTGGGGCAGTGGGAGGTGTCCCTGCCATACAGGGTGAGCTTTGGGGTCCTTCTTGATCCATTCCACGATTCTGTGACTTTAGGGCCCTTTTTGAGAGCACCTGCCCCAATTTTCCCTTGTGCCCCAGGCAGCTGATGTTTCAGTCATGGCCAGGTGCTTCATTGCCCTGTTCCCCTCTCACTGCTTGTGCTGCTCTCAGCCTTTGTGCTCCACTGGGCAGTGCTGGGGTGGGTGTATAGCCTGTGATTATGTAGGCTCTGGCAGCTGTTTTTAATAAGATTTGCTGTCTATTGGGCTGTTAGGTGGTTCACAGCTCGCTCACTCAGAGTTCTCAGCTCTCCTCTGCTGCAGGAGCTCCAGGCTGTCTCTGCTGGTGACTGACAGCAGCGAGGGCCAGGGTGCTGTGGGATTGACGGGGTGTTCATCCCTGGGCTCAGCAGATTGCAGCTCTGTCTCTGCCTGTCACAGCTGAATTGTGACAGCCACAGCTGTGTTCCTGCAGGAGGGTGGTCCCCAGAGTGCACCCTCTGCTCCTGTGCTCGTGTTCAGAGGCGTCTTTGTGGAGTGGGCTCCCTATCTCTGTTTTCCCATGTATTTCGGCCCTCCAGGAAGGTTGTTTTGTAAGGAAAGGAGTGCCATTCCTACGGTCAGCCTGGGGTCCCACTAGCTCCCCAGATCCCCATGTGGGTCCTGTCTCTGGTGCCCCTGCCAGAGGAGGCTGAGGAGGGGAGGAACTGCCAGCATTGCTGGCTGTCCTGCTGCCCCTGGGGCATTGCTTCCAGAGCTCTGCTCTGTGAAGTTTAACTCTCGTTCATGCAATTCATGAACTTTAATAGTTCATTCCTCAGCTCCTGGGCAAGTGTTGCTAATCCTTCTTGCCAGGCAGCTTTTTCTGACAACCTGGCCAGCGTTCCCTCAGTGCTGTTCTGTTAGTGCTGGCTCCAGCCCTGGTATGTTCCTCTTTGCTTTAATGCTTTTCATTTGGGAAAAGATCCTGGAGCTTGTAGGTGGATGAGGCTGTAAATCATGGCAAGGCCAGGGCTTCCCTTTGTCTGACCACTGAGAGGTTAGGCAGGAAAGAAGTTGAGTCATAATTGGGTGTAAATTTTTTTCTGAGAATAAAATCTTTTAGGGGAGGTTTTTTTTTTTTCCCTGCCATGGCACATCAGTAAATAGAGCCATGAGGCTAAAAGTGCTAAATGCAGTTAATTTAGAGAATCATAGAATGGTTTGGGTTTGAAGGGACCTTAAAGCTCATCTTGTTCCATGGACAGGGACACCTTCCACTATCCCAGGCTGCTCCAAGCCCTGTCCAGCCTGGCCTTGGACATTTCCAGGGATCCAGGGACAGCCAGAGCTGCTCTGAGCACCCCATGCCAGGGCCTGCCCATCCTCACAGGAAATAATGTCTCCTTATATTGAACTGCAGCTTTCCCTCTGTCAGATTGAACCTGTTATTCCTTGTTTTGTCACTCCAGTTCCTGATGCAGGCTCCTGTAGCCCCTCCAGACCTTGGCAGGTGCTCTGAGGTCTCCACACAACCTCCTCTTCCTGAGTCTGACCAGCCACAACCTTCTCTGCCTCTGTGTGGAGTTTCAGTGTCTTTTTTTATTCTTTCCCCCCTGCATTGATCACTTTGAAGAGTGCTTGATGGATAAAGTGGGAAACAGGGAGGTGTCAGGCACCTGGCCATCCTGGAGAGGGCACTGCAGGAAGGACAAGCGGCAGTAGCACATCCTGGTGGCCACCTTTGGGGGTGGCTGGGGCTAAGTTTGGAAGGCAGATTTGGAGGAAACCCTTTGAAACACTGGCACTGGGATTTGTCCTGGGGCAGGGAATCTTGGTGCATGGAAATTGTGTTTTCCTTGCCTTGGGAATGTGCTGCCTCTGCCTGTTGTGCTGCTTGTGTGAGAGGGAAAGGGAAGGGTGCTGCAGAGGTTCAGCTGGCTTTATCCACAACCAAACCCCTCCAGCCTGCTGAGCCTTCCAAGGAATTGGGGTGTATCCAGAGGTTCTCCTCATCTCTGAGCCCACTTCTTTGTGAGCTGCACCTCCAGTTTTTGGCAGTGAAGTATTTCATGGGCCTAAAAAGCTGGCTCTTGTCACTGCTTGCTTGATTTGTTATGGAAAGACAATGATTTGCCTTGGATTTACTGCAGGGCTTTCTACTAAATCACCACAACTGGAGAAGTTTCCTCTGGGCAAAGTTAACTTTTTTCCCCTCCTCTCCAACCCTCAATAACAGATCTGAAAGGTTTATTAAGCAAAGAAGTGAAAATGCCTGTGCAGTGAATTCCATTTCCTACCAGGAGTACGTGCAGCCAGTGCCCTGCCAAAGTGAACAAATCAAGTATTGCAGGACAGGGAAAAACAAAGCATGGTTTTGTTTACAGGCTCTCACATCGGGGTCTGGGCAGGGAGAATTGTGATCCTCCCTGTGAGGGAAAAATCATAATTGAACTGTATTTCTGCCCTGTCACGTAGGAATTGGCTGTTGTTCTATTGAAGTGCTTTTCTCAGGTGCTGCAGTGACGGGCAGGTAGAAATGCAAATGTTTTCCATGCAGAAGGGCTTTGTTTAGAGGCTTTCTTGGATGGGGTCTCTAATTTGTAGTTAATTCAATGACTGCGTTTTTAATATTAGGATGTGCTCCATAGTGGAGATTTAGCTCTTCTGGGAGGATTGGCCTGGCCTGAGATGGTAAAGCACAGACCAGGAGGTTTAAATCCTGCTCAGGACTCTGAGGGGTTCCCAAATCACAGGATCAGGGAGTGATTTGGGTGGAAAGGGACCCTAAAGCTCCTCCAGTTCCCCTTGCCTGCCATGGGCAGGGCTTCCTTCCTCTAGCCCAGGTCTCAGTCTGTGCTAAGGTAGGGCCTTGCCTGTGGCCTAGGTTAAGTGATGCCTTGTGGCAGGACAAGCTCTTTATTTAGCACTTGGAAGATGAAGTTTTTTATCTATTATCTCCGTCCTTCCTTATGCATGAAGCTTTCCCAGCAATATTAATATTTTACTGTTGAAGAGTCTTGCTGATAAATTAAGATCAAGGCTCAATAAATGAGCTTTAAAACCCACTAAATGGCAATTAATTATTAGATGTAGGCTTCCAGGAGAGTTTTGATGTGTTAGAGAAACCAATGAAGTCCTGCCTAAAGGCTCAGGAAGCTGAATGGAAGGAAGTAGAGGGTGGATACAGCTTTCTCCTTCAGAAAGGACCATGTTGTGGCACTGGTTGTTGAAAAATACATTTCTGAACAACATCCCTGAGGCTGTGGGCAGTTTTATCCAAAATGAGTAGGGAAGGTAATAATCTCTGTCACTAAATGTTTTACTCTCCTATTTCCTTCTCAAGTGTTTATTAGGAGCTCTGTTTTGTCCTTGAACTTCTGTGTGTGGGGGTTTTAATATTCAAATTTATTTTTCTTTGGAGGCACCTTTTATTTTCTGAGCTGTTGCTCAGGTACAGAAGCAGTCTGTTTATGTGCAGGAGCAGCCAGACTCCTCTCCCTGTTTATGAAGAGCAGTTTGGCAAGTCAGGAGCACTGGTTTCCTTAGTGATGCTGACAGTTGGTGAGGAGACTCAAACTGAAAGCATTTCCATTAACTTTTCCATGGCTTTGGCACAAAAGAGGCTTGGATGTAAAATAGCCTCAGTGTTGTCAAGACAAAATGTCCTCTGCTGGTTTTTGTTGTTTATCTATAACTCCTTCAATGAAAGCCATAAAGGACTGACAGATTACAAGTTGCATGAAATATCCAAGTAATTATTTCCACTTTGATGCTTCTTTGTGCAGACATGAAACAATGAATACCCATAAAGTCTCAGCAGTGACACTCACACAGCAGGGGAGTCACCACTTGTTACGTGCCAGGGTTTGCTTCTCCTCCTATGACTTTATCTCAATATCTGCAACTCCTGCTCAGGGCTTAGCTGTGTGTGGAAGCAGCTGGAAGCCAGACCTTCATGGGTTGCTGTGGGCAGCACAGGGGGAGCAGCATTTTCCTGCAGGCCTTTGCTGTGGCTGAATTTTGGTGGTGCAGGTGGCTGCTGCTCCAGCAGCTGCTCTGTGAACTCCTGGTTGTGCTCCCTGAGCTCTCCCAAGCAGTGGCACTCCAGGCACACACTGGTTTGGTTATTGTGCACTCATGAAACATTGGGGCTTAAAACCTGGAGTTGCTCTTGGATGAGATTTCACTCCCTGGTTGTTAAAATATCCTTGGGAATTTTATTGCTGTGTCAGTGGGACAAAACTGGTGTTCTGGGGGGTATTTCTTTTCCAGTTTACTGCCCTAAGTCACTGCTGGGAAGAAGGATGAGATGCAGGATGAGAGGAATTGCTGTGTGGCACTTGGCTTGAGTCAATCCAGCAGGTGTGCCCCAGTGTTGGAGGTGAGGCCTGGCTCTAACTGGCTGTAATTCCCTGTAATTCTTCCAACAGAGAGAGCAGGAGCTGCAGGAAGGAGCTGCTGGAGCTGAGAGGAGAGAGATGATCACCCCAGCCCTGAGGGAGGCTCTCACTAAACAAGGTGAGGCTTTGCCAGAGCAGCTGGGGCACAGCTTGGAGCCTTGGAGCTGGCTTTGAGCAGAGCAGTGGGAGAGGGGTTCTGTGTGGCTGAGGGGCTGCCCTGGGCTCTCATGGCAGGCCTGACCCACAGACAGGACAGGACACACGGAATGGCTGGGGCTGGAAGAGCCTCTGGAGATCACCCAGTCCCACAGCACCAAGGCAGGTGGCACAGGAATGTGTCCCAGGGGGTTTGGGATGTGGCCATAGAGGGAGACTCCAGCCTGCTCTGGGCAGCTGTTCCAGAGCTCTGCACTCTGTGGGAAGAAGTTTTTCCTCAGGTGAAGATGGAATTTGTTGTGGTTTAGTTCATGGCTCTTGCTCCTCATCCTGTCACTGGCACCACTGAACGGAGCCTGGTACAATCCTCTGATACCCCTGGGGATATTTTATGGATTGATGGGATTCCTCTCAGCCTTCCCTTCTCCAGACTGACCAGGCCCAGCTCCCACAGTCTCTCCTGACCCCAGATCATCCTTCTGGCCTCCACTGGACCCTCTCCAGTAGCTGCTGGTCTTTCTTGAGCTGTGGAGCCCAGAATTGGGCACAGCCCTGCAGCAGTGGTGCCTCACCAGGCCTGAGCAGAGGGGCAGGATCACTCCCTGACTTGCTGGGAATGCTCTTCCTGATGATCCCAGTGGCCCTCCTGGCCCCCAGGACACTCTGCTGCAGCTCCTCATGCAGTGCCTGGAGCTCCCATGGTTGAATGTATCTGCTGGGGCAGCTTGAGAGATGTGCCCATGGTCCCACACTGCTGCTCCCGCAGTGTAGGTTTGTCAGGGAGTGTTTAATGATCAACTTTGCTTCTGTTTTGCAACTTTGTCCCTTGCTTTTATCTCCGTTTCAAACTCTGATTTGTTGCTGAAACACTGTTTCCAGAAAAGGAATTAGTTCAAACTAATTTTAACCATCCAGTAGATGTTTAGATCAGCAGCTCTCCAATGAGAGCAGTTAGAGTGAATTTCATGTCTTTCTTTAAAGCAAAGGACCAGCCTGAGGGGAGCCAGACTGAGCCCTGCAGTTCAGGAGCCTCAGCTGGGAGTGGCAGAGCCAGGAGGAGGCTGATGTGAGCTTCCCATTGCTGCTTACATGGAGACTAAAGGGGAGTTTGGTCTGGTTTCTTTTCTCTCTTGGGGTGGAGTGTTTGCTGCTAAATCAGCGTAATAATGGCATTGTTAAGGTTGCAAAAGGTCTTTAAGATCAAGTTCAACCACCAATGCAACATCACGCCCACGTTGAACACTAAGCCGTGACCTCAAGAGCCACATCACAATTATTCAGCACTTCTAGGGATGGGGCTGCCCTGGAAGCTCCTGAGAATGCCCCTGCATCACTGAGGGCTGGGCCAGTCCAGCTGTGCAGCCCAGCCCTGCTGGCCCCAGGGCTCAGCTGCCCTTTGGCCTGAGCTTTGCAGTGCCCAGTGTTCTGCCCAGCCTATGGCTGCCAGCTTTGGTCACTGGGTTGGCATCAGCCTTGGCACAGCTGGGAAGCAAAGTGTGAGGAATGACCCAAGGGCTCAACAAGGAGTGGCAGAGACTTTGCCTTCTCCTCATGGCCCTCAGGGAGCTGCTGCTGGCTGGGGCCAGTGCAGTCCTTGGACCAGTCCATCTTTTCAGTCTCATCCCTGAAGGTATGGTGTGGTGGCAGTTACTTTGGGTTTGTTTGTCATGTATTTGACTGCATTGTATTTATATTTTACTTGGTTTTGTGTTTAAGGTAGTAGCCTTCTGTTTTTATGTATTCATGTTATAAGTTGAGGTGAATAATTTGATTCAGCCTTTTAAGATCAATTAATAATTTTATTAATTACAGCAAGCGATAGCAAGCAAAACAGCGCTGGGTTCAGCTGGGAGCCTGGCTCCGCCAAAAGCTGACACCCTTTCCTTCTCTTCAGTCCCTTTTTATCTTGCATGAGTGGGGGTGGTGAGTCTCGTTCCACCGTGGTTATCAGTCCCAAAAACAATGGATTTCACAAGTGGGGTGGTGTGTCTCCTTCCACTGTGGTTTATCAGTTTTCAGCAACAATGGGTTTCCACTGCGGTTATCAGTTCCAGCCAGTCCTGCAAAATCTTTCACAATCTTTGTTTGTGGTTACCAGTCCAGCCTGCAAATTCCATGTTCCGACTTCCCCCCCTTTTATCCTAATTTCATACTTTTGATGAACAAACAAGTCAATGCAGTTTCTCACATTCATATATTTAGTTATTACTAAAGAAAGCAGGGGATGGGGGCAGTGCTCTGTGCTGGCCCTGCCCTGTGTTCTGTGTGGTGGTTGGAGCATTTCCCTTTGGTTTGGTCTCACCAGTTGCTGGAACTCAAAATGTCCCTCAGACATTTCTGGAGGTTCCAGGCCCAGGTCAGAAGCATTTGAGATCCTGGCAGGCAGCTGGAAACAGCTGTGATTTTGAGTTTGAGCCATGGAATAATTTACTAACTTTACAAGAAAAACAAGAAGTCACAAAAGTTAGATATTACAGTAAAAATAATTACAAAATAGAAAGAAAAATTTTTTAGTATTATACAAGAAAATTTTGACACCTATACAGGGGGGTTTTTACTTTATATGTAAAAGTCAAAAGTTTTAAAATAAAAGAATGTAAGCCAGTCCTGTTCCTCCTCTTTCTTCTTCCTTACCTCCATGTTCTTAATAATGTTAACACTCACAGATTAGTTTAAAATAAAAAACCACCATTTAATATAAGTAATAGATATTAAAAAAAAAACTATAAACATTTATCACATAATATACCGTATAAAAAATAGCAACAGCCCAAAATCGGGGGGAGGGAAGAAAAAGACAGCAGTCAGAGAGGGTATAAAGAGTATGTGTGCCTCTGCCTAAGCTGCTAACCAAACCACAATAGCCAAAAAAGACACTCTTTTAAATAGCTTACAATAAACTACCTTGAGACCAAACAACAAGAAACTGCTAAGTTTTCTTTAAAAGCACATGTTAGAAGAAAGACTTTACCACTAGACAGAACCCCTAAACCAAACCTAAGTTCCAACAACCAGTCCCTCCTCATTTGAGTTTGGGTGTGAATGGAACTGTGCTCTTGTACAAAGTGGCCATTTGGAAAGTCTTTCTGCCATAATTCTTTTGACTCTAAGAAGGCTCCCCACAGAGCTCTGATTTCCTTGTGACACTCCAAGGACAGGAATTTGTTATCCAGACAAGCGGGTCCACATTTTCCCTTCCTGCAGTGCTCATGGTAGTGCCAGTATTGGAGCCACTGGTAGGATCTGCTTACATAAATCTGCATTTTCAAAGACTCTAAACTGTTGTGTCCTCACATCCCAGCTGCCTCTCCCAGCTCTCCCTCCTCTGCTCTCACCAAATTCTTCAGTGGTCACTCAACTGTAAGAAAGAGAAACTGCATTGTGGGTTTTTTTTTTATGTCATATAACATTTTTCCCTGTAAATAACACACCAGAAAGGCTTTTGTGGCTACAGAAATAAAACAATTCCCTTCTTCCCTCAGCATCATTCTCCCTAAAATAACAAGTGCAGTGTAGTCAAAAGATTATCTCATTTATTTTCCACCAACTGGTTTATTTGGGTGTAGGCTCAGTGTCTTTTCAAGAGTATCCCTGAGGGCATAATTAGCCCAAGAGAAGGAAAATGAGTATTAGTGGTTCAGGGAGAGCTGTTCTTTGATACTGCAGTTGCATAACAAGAGGTTTTCCTTGGAGCAGCATCTCCTCAGACTATGGATTCACTGTGGATTCACCTTCAAAGCAATTTACCTTCCTCGAGGTAAAGGGAGCAGTGCTTAAGCAAAGGTTTTTATTTTAGCCCTGGCATTGGCTAAATTGGCTAAATTTAGCCTCCCCATTGGGCTGCAGAGGTATGAACCCTTGAAGCTGCCTGCTTGCAGGTACCTTGATAACAGCAAGATACCTTGATAGCAGGTTCTCAGCAAGAGCTGCTTTTGAAAGTCCCAGGCAGAGGCAAGACAATTCCAATTCCATTTCCATCAGTGCCCAGCTCCACCTGAAACAGCAGCACAGCTCTGAGGCTTTGGTGAGTGCCAATGCACTGTGGAGAGGCTGGCAGTCGTTGTTAGTTGGGTTTGCAGAGCTCCTGGTAGTGCTTCAGTCATTCTGTGTAGCCAAAAAGAAATGAAATAAACTGAAAGTAGAAACAAGCTTTCCATGTTCACATTTCCTGTGGTGCTTGGTGAATACAGCCCAATTCCACATTTGCTTTTTGGGGTTGCTTGTAAATTTTTGACACAATCCCTTTTGGGCTGAAAGTTGCTTTTGCTTGGCCTGGGTGCCAGAAGGATTTAATATAGGGTGAAGGACTCATGAGCCTTTCCAGTGTTCCTGATTTCTCAGGAAGTACATTTAAATCCTTGGTGAGGGAGTCTGGAGCTGCTGTTTCAATAGGAAAGATGAAAGTAGAAAAACACAGTAGGGTTTTCTTTTTCTGTAAAACAAACAAAAAATCCAAAACATCCTTCAGTGTGTCATGAGAGGGTCAGGTTGGATTTTAGGGAAAGGTTCTTCCCCCAGAGGGTGCTGGGCACTGCCCAGGCTCCCCAGGGAATGGGCACGGCCCCGAGGCTGCCAGAGCTCCAGGAATGCACAAGTGGGGTTGTTGGGGTGTCTGTGCAGGGCCAGGGCTGCACTGGATGATCCCTGTGCTCCCTTCCAGTCAGGCTGTTCATGACTCAGGGGCTGACCAGGACTTTGTGCTCTGCTGGGGTTGGTGGCATCATCAGTCACAGCTGCTCCTGGATTTGCCAAATGTTTTATTGACGCTGATGGTCTGACTGAAGCCAGCCACATCCTGCTGGATGCTGGCAGCTGGGAGAGGAATTGTTCACTGCCTGCCTGAGCTATTTGGGGCTCAGACATGATGAGTCTCAGTGCCAGCCACCTCCATCAGCCCTGGCATGTCACAGGGGTTGTTCAGCAGCCCCAGGTCAGCTCTGATGCGCTTCCTTTAATGGGGCA